TTGCCAGGCAAGCGCTTTTTGCCGCTGAGCTAAATCCCCAGCCCCTGTAATGTTTTTATTGAAAACAAATATTAAACTATCTTGGATAAGCAGGGATGTAGGGACTGGTACTCTGAGGAGCCTTCTCTGTGAGGGAGTAGCTTAGTATTCTGGGAGGAAGTGACCCTTGTTGGGTAAGAGAAGTACAGTATTTTGTCCTATACCTCTTCCAACACAGTATTCAACAAAAGAGAGGAAGAAACCTGAGTTGGAGCCCAATCATGAAGAATGACTGAGACTTCTTCAACTGAAAGAGCCAAGCCCCTGGGTTGGGTGCAAGGGATCAAATATAGAGTGTTGAGTGATGTTGCACAGCAGGGGAGAAAAGAGGCAGCAGAAGTGGCAGACTGATGATGTATGACCTAATTTTTGTTGATAAGTGTATCTTGTGTGGCCTCTTGCATTGTTCTTCTAAAAATGGAAATTTTTCATATAAAACTCTGGATTTATGGCTTCTGTTGAAAAAATCCCAAAAATTTTAGCTCTAACTCAGGTCATAAAACACTAGATAAATGTCAGAACTACAAGTTTCAAATGAAAATGTCCCTTTGAAAGTGTCATAATTTTGTTTCCCAACTAAAACAGTTATCAAATGTTTGATAAATTTAAAGTGGTACACGTTATTAATAGAAGAATAAATAAGAACCAAGTCTTCTACCTTCATGGAGTTTACAATTATAATATATATGTACAGAGTGTGGGTGTAGGGTCAATACACAAGCAACTAAATGTAAAGTGAAAGGGAAATTTAGAAAAAGTATAGGATGCCCAATTAAATTGAATTTAATGTAAATGCCAAACAGACTTTTAGCATGAAAATGCTCCCGATATTGCACAGGGTGTATACTTTACATGGCAACTAAAGTAACTTTAACCCAGTTGCTAGAGAAGAGCAGCGCTATAAAAGCTCTTCATTTAGATAGAGGACACTGGGGAAAGCCTTTGGGAAGTTGTGGCATATGCTCTAGACTTTATAGTCTGATAAACTCTACATGACAGGCAATGTCATTCTCTGTAAAATGTCATATTGTACTCCTGAACTTTTCCTTGAATCAAACCATTCATGAGCTACCATTCAGAATGTTGAAAAGATTTTTGGTCTTCATGAATTCTTTCCATAGATTGTTACAAAGCCAAAAATGATGTGTACAATTATCAAATACTGTAAGTCTTACAGGGAAAGGTATTATACCCTACATAATATTTTTTAAAGAAAAGAAAAGCAAGTAAGAAATCCCTCTTAACTATACAATATAATTTCTTACCTCTGATGTCATCCATATATCAGAACCATCATTGTCATCCAGTGTATCAGACATAAAAGGAATCAGAGACACAAATCTTGCAATGAGGTCCTACAATAATATTAACATTCATTGAGTGTATCAGTATATACATCTCTCAGAAGTATTTTACAATCATTATTTCATCTAGCATAGGCTACAAACCTATAGACACTATTATTATTCTAGTTTTGCAGAAGCAGCAGCAAGCTTAGAGCAATAAAATAACTTGCCCCTGGTCACATGGTTAATGTGATATGTGGAGTCTATGAGAGCTGAGGCCACAACTAGCTTTGCTCCAGAGGGTGTATATTAACCGTTATTATTTTCTATAATAAATAAATGATTTTAAACATTATTGCAATATTTATCAACATTAAATAGCACTTTAAAGTATGGCTGCTACAAAAACTTAAATATGTTGAAGAATAGCAAAAGTTTGATTTATTTTTAGGTTCATAAACTGTCAGTTCTTTTTCTTAACATAAGCTTGTTACTAGCTGCTGCATTTAAAGAATAGTGGTACACCTTGCTTTCTTAAGCAATAGAAGTTCTACGGTTGAAATTCCCACTAATGTGTTGGAGACAAGGACTCAGACTAAGGTAAGAAAGGAGAAAGGGATACAAATAAACAATAAAGTTAGCCGTAAAGTTCACCAACAGTGTAATTAATGTACAATAACTGCCATTTCTGCATGATTTTTTTTTTTGAGACAAGGTCTCACTACATAGTCCAGGATGGTTTTGAACTATGTAGCCCAGGCTGACCTCAAACTCAAGGTGACCTTCCTGCTAAGTGCTGGGATTACAGGTGTATACCACTATGCCGGGCTTTCATGATATTTTTACACTGATGACTTCTTGTAATTAATATATCCGGTTCACAGTCCTTGACAAGCATGGAACTAGGGCTTATTTATTATTGTAAAGTTCGTCTTTGAAATAAATCTGAGACCACTGTTGTCTCCTGGGACACTGAGATCAGCACACAGAGGCAAGAAGATAACAATGTGCACTATAATAACCATTGCTAATCTCCTATAAAAAAAGAAGAAACTTACAATTGAAAAGCAGAGTGTGGAAAGGGCAAATAAACCAGGACTTTTGATTTTAGCTTAGAAAGTATAGCTAAAGAAGCTTTGTAACTCACAAATAATATAAATAGTCTGAGGACAGCCAACTGAATAGATTGAATCTACATAAACAAAAGGTATAGCGATTCTTCATAGATGACCACCAATCACCATGAGCCTGTTAAAAATAATTGTAACTTACAAGTGTTGCATTAGAATCATGAAGAAATATATCTAGAAGTTGTTGAGGTGGATTTAATGCTTTGATATATCTTGTTACTAAGGTTTGTATCCCTTCATCATTAAAAACAGTAGTTATGATTCTTCGGTTGGGAAACATTGCTTTACAATTACTCTTAAAAATCTGTGCTTTCTGCAAAACATCAATTTGATCTGAAAACTAGAAACAAATTTAAAATATTTCAGTTTGTACTGTATTATTCCCACAGGAAAAGACCAACAGTCAGTGTCTACTTTTGCCAGATTTAAAATTATTATGACTGATTTTTAAAATAGCTTACACTCCTTTGATGATATATCTAAAAGCAATGCAGTGCGAAACCTACCTTGTCTAGTTTTGAATTACAGGAAACATATGATATTTGTGGTTCAATAGTAGCAAAAATATTTATGAAGGTACATTCTCTTAAATTCTGTCCATTGCAGTCTTCTTTAGGAGATAAGTAAGTCTTACTCCAAGTATATCCAAGCAAAACTGGTGGAATGTTGACTTGAAATGTTCCACTAATCTGAAAGAATGTATCATGCATGAAGGGAAGGAGGAGGTAAGTTGCAGTAATAAGCAATAATAACAAGCAGTGGGTAACTGTGCACTTACTACGTGCAAGGCTCTGTGGCAAGTGCTTGATACAGACTGTATCATTTAATGAAATAAACACTGCCTTTACTTCTATCTTATAGATAATTGCTTTTATCTCTATTTTATAGATGCTCAGAGAGTTGAAGCAATTTGTGCAAGATCAAAGAACCAATGAGTAGTGGAGCCAGGTTTATAATCCAGTTTTATCTGCCTTTGAAGCCCACATTCTTAACTATCTCCTTAGAGTCAGTCTGAGCTGAGATTGAAAACTGCCGATAAGAACTGACAAGCATAGGAAGCAATTTACCCCCAACAATTTAGATTCCAACAATTTATTTGCAGTGTGGTCCATCATGACTTCATGTTACTGTGCAATACAGGGGCACTTTTACTTTTCTTTCCTACCTAGTGTCCTCTTTTCTCCTTTAGCAACAGGTTTAGTTGATAACGTGACAGGTGGATAGTGGTCATGTCACATTAGTAAGATGCAAGAAGAAGTCTGTGAGAGGTTTTCCTTTTTTCTATCATATTTCCTTTTCCTTTTGTGTTTTTTGGACTGGGGGTGAAACTAGGGCCTCGCATTGAGCTATATTCCCAATACTTTCTATGTTTTATTTTGAGACTGCTATGTCTCAGTCTTGCTAAATTTCCCAAGCTGGGCTTGAACTTGAAATCCTCCTATCTCAGCTTCCTGAGCAGCTGGGATTACAGGTGTGTGCAACCATCCCCAGTAGTCTGTTGGAGTTTTCTGAAGAACTGTCTGTTTTTCTGGTTTTTTTTTTTTTTTTTTTGTTTGTTTGTTTGTTTGTTTGGTTTTTTTCCGGTACCGGGAACCGAACTCACGACCTTGCACTTGCCAGGCAGGCGCTGTGCCGCTGAGCTAAATCCCCAGCCCCCTGTCTGTTTTTCTGAATTAAGCACTGTGGTTTTGCTTATCCCTGATACAACACAGTTATGAAACTGGAGTTGCAGTGAATGTTTTGCAATATGAGGAGTGGGATATAAAGACAAAAGCGGCTTGGGTTGTTGACTATGTCCTTGAACTGCTGCACTGGCATCTGAACTCTTTAGATTAGATAGATCTTTTATTTACATCAGCCACGGCTAGTTAAACTTTCTGCTGCATCTGGCCTAGTGCATATGATTCCTTTTCACTCATTTGCCCTCATTGTTTGACAAATTTATTCAGAATTTACTTCTTCAGTAAAGTCTTCCCTGCCCTGCATTTTCCTCCTCAGCCTCTTGTTACCCACTACCAAACTATCTGAGTGTTCCCAATTCCCCTTTAGCCCAAGAAAGTAAAGAACACACCTATGATGTGTTCTTACTTATCTCATGCCTCTACTAAAGTATTTCACACTGTAGAAAGATATTAGTTTTATTCTACAGATAGTAAACTCACAGGGGTAGAAAATTAATTTCTGACTCTTTAAATATTCAGTGGCTGGCAAAGCCTCAGTAATGTCAAGTACCTTGCCTCAGGTCACTGGGTAAATAAAAGAGCCTAAAATGGAGATTAGGCTGGAGTTCTAATGCTTTGCTGGTCCTGCAGGCATATTTTTACTATATAATCCAACAGCAGGTTCTCGGAAGGTCTCACAGAGACCAGTTCTAATAATCAGTCTCACTGTTATCAATAAGCAGTAGTGGTAAGCTGACATTCCTAAGATTCGTGACTGAAAAGCAGCACCGTAAATCAGAACGCTTCATGACCTGACTGACAAATCTCTAACATGCAAATATGAATGCTGCTTTAAGATGCAAGGCGAGACATTTTTCCTCTGTAAACACTCTAAAGATGTAAGACATTTGTGAGTGTCCCTTTTCTAGAGAGAGTGAAAACCTTCAAACACTCCAAAGCCCTAAAACTCTTTTTTAGTATATGTGCTGCCGAAGCAAGCACAACACTCTAAAAAGGATTATTTCTAATTAAACTTCCAACCTGCCGAACATAGAATCTGATTCAAAGATAACAAGAAGTGTTTCTGTTGGCCAGAAGTCAGAATTCAGAATGATTGGTAAGCAGCCATGTTCTGTTACCTCGGACTGTTGCAAAAGAGCAGAGAAAGGGAAAACGATGGAACCCAGCCAGTTCTTTCTCAGGTAGGAGTGACCACTGCAGCTCTTGAGACAGCGATCCTATCAAAACAAATTAAAATGGAGTGTATTAAAGTAAATACATTTTATAGTGCTTAATACCATAGGAGTAGTTTCTCAAACTCACAGGTAAGTATAAAATATTATTCTCTTTCATTTGGGGTTTTTGAAATATGTCTTCCTTTTTAAAAGAAACCAAAAGAAAGATAGAAACTAAATTTTTCTTGCTTTTCAATTTTTTAAGGATATAAGTATTTAAGGCAAAAATATGATCTATTGTGTAGTTTATGACATACACAAGTAAAATGTATTATAAGATTAATACAAATATGGGAGAGGGAAATGGAGGTGTTACAACATCTCATTTATACACTCTGTGAAGTGGTACTGTAATACATAACAGTAGACTGTGCAATTAAAGAATGTATTATAAAACCTAGAGCAACACTTAAGAAAACAAAGAAGCAAATGATGGGGATAAAATGGAATGATGAAAGTACTCTATTGACCCAAAAGAAGGCAGGAAAAGGGTAACAAAAAGTAGATGGCATAAGCAGAAAACGAATAGGAATATGGAGCCCAGTCAGGTCAATGATTATAGAAATTGTATGAAGGGGCCAAACATGTTCACTGGAAGAAAAATAGTCTCTTTAACAAATGGTGCTGGAGAAACTGGCTTTCCACATGCCAAAGACTAAAACTAGGCCTGTGTCTATCACCATGCACTAAACTAAAGTAAAAATGGATCAAAATCTAAATACTGAAACAGAAACACTAAATCTACTGGAAGAGAAAATAAGTAGAAGTCTTGAAGACAGGGATAGGCAGAGAGTTCATGAACAAAACCCAGATCATACAAGAAATAATATAAAAAATCAACAACTGGGACCTCATCTTATTAAAAAGCTTTTGCATATCAAAAGAAATCACCAACAGAGTGAAAAGGCAACCCACAGAGTGGGAGAAAATTTTAGCCAGTTGTCCCCCAGACAAAGAACTTAAATCAGGAATATTAAATAATTGAAAAATATCAGACACCCCAGATTTTAAGACCCAATCTAAAAATGGGCATCTGAGATGAATAGACATTTCTCAGAGGAAGAAATACAAACAGCAAATAAATGTATGAAAAAATGTTCAACACCATTGGTCATTCAAGAGATGCAAATTAAAACAACACTGAGATTCCATCTCACCCCAGAAAGAATGGCTATCATGAAGAAATCAACCACTAACAAATGCTGGAGAGGCTGTGGGGAAAACAGCAACCCATCTCCATTGTTGGTGGGAATGTAGACTGGTGCAATCACTGTGGATATCAGTATGGAGATTTCTCAAAAAGCTACCATTAGAGGTCCTGTTTGACCGAGCTATTCCCCTTCTGGGTATTTTCCTGAGGAATTAAAAACACCACACCACAGCAATACATAGGCACTCATGTTTATAGCAGCACAAGTTGTAATAGCTAAATCTTGGAAACAATCCAAATGCCCATCAACTGAGGAATGGATAAAAAAGAAGTGGTCTTTTTATACAATGGAGTACTACTCAGGCATAAAGAAAGATAAATTTGAGACTTTTATAGGCAAATGGATGAAATTTGAGACCATACTTTTAAGTGAAATAAATCAGACTCACATGTGTAAACATCATATTGTCTCTCTTGGTATGAGATTGTCTCCTTGGTATTTGAAAGACTAAATAAGGTCCAAAATGTACAATAGATATTGTGAAATGGGAAGAAATTATTCAAAAGAAAAGAGGAATGAGGGTGGAGGAAATGGGAAAAGAAGGAAAAGAAAAGAAAAAAGAGATAGTTAATATGAGTTTTTCTTAGCTCATTGAAAAGAAAGACTTGTGCTAATACAGTTTGGAGAATACTTTATGCCCATATTTTGTACTCTGAATATTTTATTTTGCATAAAAAAATAAAATAAAATAGAAAGCAAATTGTCAGAATGGATAAGAAAGCAAGATCCAACCATTAACTGTCTAAAATAAAACCATTTTAAATATAATGGAAAAATTAAAAGAATAAAAGAAAAAGAAAAAACCTGATGTGGTAGTACATGCCTGTAATCCCAGTACTCTGGGAGGCTCAAGTGGGGATCATAAACTCATGCCCAGCCTTGGCAATTTAGTCACTTAGTGAGAATCTGTTTCAAAACAAAATAAAATAGAATAAAAGCCTGGGGGTATAGCTCAGTACAAAGGCCCTGGGGTAAGGGGGTGGAGAGCAAAGAAGAGACATAACATATAAACACTAACTAATAAAAACTAATTAAAAGAGAGCTGAAATGACTATATTTTATAACAGAAAAAGTAGTTTAAGTTTTGTTTTTCAGTTCCACAGATTAAACCCAGGTCTCACACATGCTAAGCATGTACTCTACCATTGAACTATACCCCCAGGCCAAAGAGCAGATTTTAAACCAAGAATTATAACCAGGAAAAAAGAAAGATATCTCATGGTGATAAAGGAATCAATTCATCAAGAAGAAATACAATCTTAAACATGTATAAACTTAACAGAGTTGCAAAATAAAATAGAGCCAAAAAAACATTAAAATAAAGTTGGTGGGCTGGGAATATAGCTGAGCAGTACAGCACCGGCCTGGCAAGCACAAGGCTGTGAGTTCAATTCCTGGTACCAAAAAAATAAAAAATTAAAATCAAGTTGAAACTATGTATTGTCTCTAATGTTCTTTTAAATTATTACTTTCTTATTCCTTTTAAAGGTTTGATCGATCTTCTTTTCTTACATTTGGTAATCTGAGCAACTTCGTTCAAGATAACAATATATAATAGAACAGGCACTGTTAATCCTTATCATTTGATTTGAAACCCCGTATCATTTTGAATGTCCTTGCTTTGTTTTGTTTGTATTTAGCTATTGTTTTTTTTCATTCTCTTTAAAATAAAATAAATCAAGTTAGTAAATCTGACCTTACCAAAATTAAAAACTTTGTTCTTGAAAATACAGTACACTGGCAAGTAAATGAAGACATACTATATACTGGGATAAAATATTTGTAAATCAGATATCTGATAAGGGACTTGTACACAAAGTAAATAGTTCTCAAAACTCAATAATAAAAAGTTTAATTAAAAAAATAAAGGATTTGAACAACTACTTTACCAAGAAGATACGTATATGAAAAATAAATATATGGGAAAATGCTCAAGGTCATTAATAATTAAGAATACAAATTAAGTCATAATGAGAAACAACCACACACCTATTATAATGGCTAAAATTAAAAAGTGTAACAAAGTGGTTCAAAAAAGTAGGTAGAATGAAAAATGCTACAAGCATGTTGAGAAACAGGTTTCATAAAGATCCACCTATAATAGCCAACCATTTAACTTCTAGGTACTTACTAAGAGAAATAAAAGCATCTTTTCTATACAAAGATTTAAATGCAAATGTTCACAGCAGCTTTATTTTTAATAATAATTTTTAAAATTGGGCTGAGGTATAACTCAGTGGTAGAGTACTTTCCTAGCATGTGCAAGGCCTTGGGTTAATCCCCAGCATCTCAAAGAAGAGAACAAATAAAAATAACCCTAATGTTCAGCAAGTGAATACATAAGCATGCATGTAATGCAACCATTTGATAAGTACTACAGCATGGATGAATCTCAAAATAACTCCAAGCAAAAGCAGCAACTCCTCCCCCCAAAGATCACATACTGTATGATCCTCTTTTTTCTTTTTTTGTAGTATAATTCCATGTTTATTGACAAAAGAATTGAAAGTATCATGAAATGAAAAGGTTATAAAATGGTATACACAGTATGATTATATTTTCTTAAAAAGGGTATAGCTAAGAGAATCTGGATGAATTGATTACACAAAAATTAACACCAGTAGGATCATCAGACTTTTGTTAACTCAATTTTTATTTTAATAATTTTATTTTTTGATTGACATAATATTTGTACTTTTTAATGAGGTATAATGTGTTTTGATTTATTCATTCATTGGGTGAAATGGTTCAATTTCTGTTAAATTCTGTAAACTAAACTATAATAACAGAGAACAGATCAATGGTTGCTGAGGTGGGAAACAGGAGGAAAGAGGGGTACATCAACTGGGCAGGGAAAAACTTTTGAGGGTAATGAATATATTCATAATCTTGATTGTGATGATGGTTTCATGGGTAAATGCACATGTCAAAACTTGTCAGATTATTTTAATATGTGCAGATTATAGTTTACTAATTTTTTTCAATAACAGTTTTTAAGTTAGAGGAAGTGTGACTAGTGAGGAAAAACAGGAATTAGGCATAAGAGTGACTGGCACTTACTAACCACCCCCCAACTCTCCCTTTGACAATACTCTAAATCCATTTCATTTTTAGTCACTTAACTTTTTTCAGTTTGCCAACCAATGGTCAGAAATGGGAAACCTCTGGGAAGGTGAAAAGAGAATGGCTAAAATCTTTTAAATTCCCCAAACTAATTCTCACCTTTAGTTCCTACCACCTTTAAGCATCTGGAGCCCTTCTAACTTTTAGTGCTTGAGAAGTTACCCCTTCCACTTACCAGGGTCTTTTAAATCTAGAGGCTGACCTGCAACAACAGAGCTGAGCAAGGAGGACTATGTCATTCTAGTCTAAAAGGCAGCAGGCACACTTACTATTTTAGAGAAATTGTGGCTTTGAACTTTTCACTGGTGTCATCTCAACTGCATTACTCTTTCCATCCCAGGTTCCAAGGATGGTGCAGGCTTCCTAAGTTTACCTTGCCACAGGTTATAAATTATACCTCTATTGGGGTTCACTTTAAAATTAGTTCCCTATGGGTCTTCTCATTTTATCTGAGGACAATCAGTGTGAATTGTATATTTAATTAACCTTTTATGAGTCAGCGTATGAACTGTTTATACTAAGTGACAAAGCAAAATTTAATTCCTGAGCTATAATGTACATGTGCTAAGTCTGCAACAAAGTCTCATAAACTTAAGCAGTTCCAGACACTGATGGTTAAATGGTTAAAATGAGATTGCCATGATTGAATTAGTCCTTTAAATAAGACATATCAATGAAATTCATGTATTTGTGTATTTAGTTTTTCCACCCTAATGCTTTCATCTCTTCGGAGTATTTGGTTTTTTTTTCTTATGAACAAGGCATATTGCTTGATACATCACCTTACCTTGTTATTAGGATTAACATCTATGTGTGTTAATTAATTAGCAACCATATAATTGGTACCAATGGCTCCAGATATGAACTGTGAGTTAGGGGCCCACATACACAATACAATTGGTTACAATGTAATAAAACTAAAATTTAAAACCAAAAATTTACATTAAAACCTCTGAAACAGTTAACAGTGTAAGAGGGTAGAATTAAAAACTATTAGGTCAAGGATGAAAATGTAATAAAAATGTATGAGGAAAATAATTAAACATAAAAATAATAGACAATTCAATATAAAATAGTTTAAGATGTTTTTAGTGATAGACTATTATTTATGAGAGAGCAAGAGATTAAATAAATGAGTCATTCAACACATTTGACCAAAATAAGTACACATATTATAGTCCTGAAGACATTGGAAAAAAATAATACAAATACAAGCAGAAATAAATGAATTAGACAACATAAAAACTTAAGTATAAATCAATTTTAATAGTTGGCTCTTTAAAAATTATGCAAATTTTTTAATCAAAGAAAAAGTCTAAAATATGTCCTAAATTTAATTACAAGGGTTGGAGGATGGAGGATAGGAAAGATGATAGATAGGTGAGATTTAATCAGCTAAAACAACTACGGGCAACTACAGGCTGAATAGAACAGGACTGTTGTATACACTAGGGGCCAACTCATTTTGCTTCCAAACCTAAGCAACTAGAAACAAGACTCCTCCTTACCCTCCTACTCAACTTTCCCCATGTTGTATGATCCCTTTTTATCTACAGCTAATGTAGGTTCAGTGTGAATAATCTATGCTTTCTTTGCCCCACAAATTTTCATTATGAAACCTTCTGGCTTTGTTAGGCCCTGGGGACATTTTCACAACTACTATCTACCCTGTTTTCTTTGATTGCATCAGGACTTTGTTCATCTCAGGACCTTGGTCTTTCTGGCTATCAACTGTAATGGCTCCATAACCCCCTTTTAAATAGAGCTCTTAGTTTCAAGAGTTTTACACTTCCCAATTAAAATTTTAAAAATAGACACATCTGTGTAAAGTTATAAATAAGAGGTGAGTAGGTAACAGTAGATCAAAAATGATGAGATATGTTGAAAATGATATGCTAATAAACTTAAAAATCTTGAAAAATACTAATTTTTCAAAAACATTTAAACCAACACTTGAGTATTGGATTACAGTTCTTTTTGTGGCTATCAGAGTGTTTGTTATAACTTTAGTTAACAGAAGTCCAAATCTAGAGGGTGCCTCAGGACTGCTTCACCAGCTTCAAATGTAGTTTAGCCCAGCTCTTTCATTCCTGGTGTTAAAAATAGGCTTTTTGTCTGTAAGACTTCAAACCTTCAGCTTTCTGTTGGTACCTGACTCATGAGGGGGAGATTCATGAGAAGTAAGGAATAGTTGATAACCAAAATGAAAAAATTCAGGAGGAGAAAAAGGGAAAATTGAGGTACTTTTGGACAAAATAATCATCATTGATAAACCAAAACTTTGTTGTATCTAAGTGGTTATCTTTTTTTGTTGTTGTTGTTGTTGTTTGTTTTTGTTTTTTTCCAGTACCAGGAACCGAACTCACGACCTTCCGCTTGCCAGGCAGGCACTGTGCCGCTGAGCTAAATCCCCAGCCCCCTAAGTGGTTATCTTGGAGCCCAGCCTAGATTTAATCTTTTATGAGAAAATGGAATGTTTTGGTCCATAGTTACCCCGCCTAGTCTGTGAGAAAAGGCTCTCTCCTTTCCAATTTTAGTATATGTGTTGCCAAAGCATGCACTGCCCTTTGCTTTCCTAAACAGCACGCCACCACTGTCACAAACAAGTCTGGGTCACATATGAGACCCAATACCCAAAGTGTATGGGTCTCATTCTAACAGCATTTGAAGAGTTAAATTGTTATCCACTGCTACTCAAATTTTGAACAAATTGGTCATTGACATAATTCATTTTTGAGAGAAAAACAATCTCTTAGGCATTCTTTTGTGTTTTTAAAGTTCCACTCATTATCAGTTTATATGACAGAAGACTCAGTTTAACTCTTTGGAGAAAAGTCATCACTAAATTATTGTTTATTACCCTCAGCCTTTATTAAGAGTTGGTGTTTTAGTAAGAATGTGTGTGGTTTCTCCTCAAAAACCAGATGTGAAGATTGCTATTATGATTTTCAGTAGTTTTTATAGTAGGCTCAATCCGGAACAACATACTTCAAGGTCTTGCTCAACTTTTCTTAACTGGATCCCCAGCAACTTCCAAGTAGAATGAGAATTAACCTTTAATAGTACTGCCATCTAATTTTTCAGACATTTACATGAAGGATTTAATTTACTGTGATGTTTAACTTGGTTGTCAACTTGACTGGATTGAAGAATGTCCCGAAAATTGGTAAAGTACACCTCCGGATATGTCTATGAAGGTGCTGCAGAGAAGGCGGGCATGTGGGTCAGTGAACTGAGTGGGGAAGACCTGCCCTCAACTTGGGCTGCAGTAACCAATAGATCAGGGCCCAGAATGAATGAAAATGCAGAAGATGGAAGCCATCCATTGTACATGCTCATCATCCACCCTTTTCGAGTGGGTGCATTTTTTGTGCTGCTGCTGTTGCCTGTGGTCTTCAGATTCCAGATTCTTCAGTCTTTGAACACAGGCTTTCAGCAATGGCTCTCCAGAAGGGTCTCGGGCTCTCAGGCTTGAGCAGGGGCTTTACAACTGATCTCTCACGTTCCAAGTCTTGGGCTGAGAAGTTCCTATCTTCCCCTGCTTCCCAGCCTGAAGAGAGCCATTGTAGTTCTATTTAGCCTCTGACCCTGTAAGGCACTTTCCTCTCTAACTGTATAAGCCAATCTAATAAATCCCCTCTTGCATACATTTTATTGGCTCTGTTCCTCTGGAGAACACTAATACATTTACTTACAGTTACTTATCCCAAAAAAGTAGACACAGTGGCTATTCATATTTTTAGAGCCATCTTCAGTATGAAGGAAACTAACATTTATTTCAACACTTACTATGGTAGTAGGCATTCTCTTAGAAACCTCTCATGTATGAAAAAGATGTTCAGTAATTTTAGGGACAACACTGAATAGACTAAATTTTAGTCCTAGAAGTAGTTCAGTCTTTCATCTAAGTGCTGTATTTTCTTTATTCAGATGAAAAAATACTCAACCTATCTTTGTTTTTCTTTCTGTCTTTACTACGAGGAAGCTCACATTTATAGGTAATGTTCAACTGTAAAACCCTACTACTCCCAAGTTCTGGAATATTTAATCTTTCCTCCTCTTATATGTGGTTTATTATCTATATTATTTTTGAAATGAGTTGCCATATGTCGATTTTGCTACAATTTGCCTCAAATTCTTTGAAAGCTTTGAGTAGAGATACTGCATTTAAAATAAATTTACTGATATATTACTAGATTTCACACAGTAATCTTCTTAGGATTATTTCAACATTGATTATATTAATTACTGTACATTACCGTATGTTTTTCAATGATCACTTCATCAAAAATGTTGATGTATATATTATCTTTTATTTTAGACAAATTTGAGAAGCTATAATCATGTCCGGGTGAGCTGCAAGCAAGAAAAATATACATAAATGCTTATTGTTTCTAAATCTATTTTTTAAGGACATTATTCATAAAGAACAATATGAGTACCTCTGTTATTTTCTTTTATAAAGTATAAACTTAGAAAAAGTTATGTACTTTGAAGACTGGCTGTGGCTTTCCATTAGAGCCAACATTGCTTTGTTATTTGCTTTGTATCTCTCTTAAGACAAAAAGTGAAAATGTTTAAATGTCAAACAGAAAGGCTTTCACTACAGCCATCCACTGCAAGGGAACTGTCTGGAGGATACTGCACTAGGATTTTCCAACTATCTTAAATTTTGCTATTTCATATATATAGTTAAAATGGTTTTTGCTCTGAGTTAATAGATATGACTGTTTAACCAAAGAGTTCATTCTCTTTCCCATATTTATTTTCTCTAACTAGAATTTGGGATAATAGAGTACATTTAATTTTGCCAGCTGCCTGCAGATGGCCTACTTCATTAGGCACATTTTGGAGTTAAATGAAATGATGATACGTATCATGAGCAATGAAATTACACTGTCAGCTCCAGATTGGTACTGAATCTCCACCAAGTATTCAACAGTGATTAAGTAGTAGGCTACTTAACACGTGAAACTGAAGCTCAGAGAAGTTAAATAACTTGCTCAAGATATTCCCCTTAGTGAGTGACAGAGCTTTGATCTGAATATAGATCCAATAGACTCCAAAGACCCAATCTTTTTAATATACCATTGTCACTGGCATTATCTGTTGAATATTGCTTCTAAAGGAAACAAGTACTATTTCAAAGGATCTCCAGCCATTTCTATAAGTTTCTGAGTTCTATAGGCATTGACAATTGAAAAATGCTAGTTAAGTTTAGAGAACAATTTTAAAATGAGGATTCCTTATATAGCCAAGTGATAAAATAATGAGCTGGCTCCCCATACTTTGCTCCTCAAGGGGTTATTCTCATGTTGAAAATGCTTAAGGTACAGCAGGAGAGGAAATACATATATATAATGTTGTTCCAGCAGTATAAAGGATATCAACCATCCTCAAGCCATTTCTGAGCTGGTCAATTTAGTATGTCTCTTAATTTACTCAAGTTTTTCTTCCTTATTTTGTATTTGATAGTCTACTAAAACTTACCTTCAAATTTGCCATAATTCTTCCTCCAAAGTATAAGTCTAGGGTCTAATTACTATTTTCTTACTGTTTATTCATTTTCATGTGGTTTTTATTCACTACAATATTACACAAAGAGAAAAATATGTGTCTTATATCAAAGACAACAAAAAGTGATAGATGGATGGTTTTGCTTAGCTGAGTTCTACAGGCATTGACAATTGAAAAATGCTGGTTAAGTTTAGAGAACAACTGCACTCTTAATGTGTTCCTGGCTTCTCTCACGGTTACAGTGGCAAGACTGTAAACAGTCTATAGTCTTTACCTTAGTTCACAAAATGTTCATTTATCTGTTTCATGTTTTCTTAAACCAATTTATCTAATATACTGTATTTCTTCTGACACTAATGTCTGTTAATATTTTAAATATTTCTAAATACATATAAATACATATTTTACCTTTATAAATCTAAGCAAGTACATTATATTTTGCTTAAAATCTTGTATACTATTTAACTTGATGTAACAGTGTAACCCAACATAATTCCCTTTAAATCCATGTTCTCCTTTAAACACAAACAGCAAAAAGTTCAGGAAAGCAAGGATCAGAGGACAAAGCAAAACAAGAGATCCTGACAGGGAGTCAAATAAGAAGAATATCTATTTAGGAACTCTGGCCAAATATACTATAAATATAATTGAGTAGATATTGAACCTGTGATGACAAACTTGATTTCTGCAATGAGCAAAAAAGCATTGATAGTATCTGAACTAATAAAATTCCAAGGTATACTGCCACCATAGGGTTTTCATGACATAAAGAGGGTCTTCTTTTCCTTGCAAATCTTGGTTAGGGTTTAGAGGCTTTCAGTTTGAGAAGTGGTGCGGCAGCTGGGATGTGAATGATTATATACCTATTAGATGTAATCATATATATGCATATGATTATGTAAGTTCTTAGTTCCTCTATTCTTTGTTGGTGGGGATGCCTATGCTAACATGAGACAAAGCATATAAAAATATAAAAATTATATGAATAATTATGTGTAGTCAATATTATGTGAACTGTGAAATATAAAATATTAGAAATGGTAAAAACTGAATCACAGAGAATCAGTTCACATAAAATGACAGCCAATCTGTAAGACAATTGTGATCTACATATATGAATAAGAAGTCAATTTTTTTACTTGTGTGGTAAAGATAGTCATATTATTTGAAAAATATTAAATATTTGTTATGGTTTACATCTAGATGTACCCCTAAAGCCTCACGTGTTCATAGGTGGGGCTTTGGGGAGGTGATTGGATCTTGGGGCTGATATTCATCAGTGGAGTAGTCAACTGGTGAGTTTGTAGGCAAATGTGATGTTGGGAGGTGAAGCTTGGTTAGGTGGGTCACTGGGGGCGTACCTAGAAGAGTTTATCTCCCTTCTTCCTCCCTTGATAGCCTCTCTGCTTTCTGCTGCAGTGCGATGAGCTGTTTTTCCTGTGCCATGCCCTTCTGCAGTGATGACTGAAAGCTCTGCAAACTGTAAGCCCAAACAAACCTTTCCTCCTTAGAGATGCAGCTGTTGGATGTTGGGTGTCGCAGTCGCTAAGACAATCTACAGATACTTGGCCTTGACAAAAATTTGTACCCAGCAGTAAAGCACAGCAACATTAGAGGAAATATATACAGAATTAGATCAGCTTTCACTGGGTCACACTGTGTATGTGTGTGTGTGTGTTATTAAACATCATATTTAGATGTAGGAAAATTCTACTCTTTTTTAAATTTTTTAATTTTAAAATTAAAAGGAGGAAAATATTAACAGACAGACATTTTACAAAACAGCAAAGGAACAGTTAAGACAGTACGGAGTTACAAACAAAGTGGTAGGGAATTAAC